AACACTTTTCAAAATATTCTAAGTCATTTTAATCAATTATATCAATTCTATATCGGTTAAAATATCGGCAAAAGGTTTTCAAAAATCCTTCTAATGAAAACAATCGATTATTTTGAAAACATATCAGTTAAAAACCTATTACAAAAAGTGTTAAGAACATTTTAGTTGATAAAGCTTATATACTATTAGTTAAAATAGTTAATTAAAAATCTTTTAACAAAATACTTTGTTTTTAACCGTTTAAATATTTTTTGGAGGCATTTGCAAAATCTTTTAAATGAAGAAACCTCATGCAGCAGAGAAATAAAAATGATTATACCTAAGTAGAGATGTAGACTCACTAATCCCACTACTCTTTTATCTAAGTGACCTTTGACTGTCACAAAGTAGCCTTTGACTTCATTTTTGACTTCATCAAATCAAGAAGATCTTTGCCAAAGTAATTCAATAAGATCTTCATCACTTTCATTTCATCCCTTTGATTTTTTCAGGGAGATGTTCATCCCTGGTGTGATTCTAGGGAGGTGTTCATCCTTAGTGGGATTCTAAGGAGGTGTTTCCATCCTTTGATTTGCTTAGAGGAGGTGTTCATCCCTAGTGAGATTCTAGGGAGGTGTTCATCCTTAGTGGGTTTCTAAGGAGGTGATTGTCTTTTTAATTAGTTTACTTTTTACTGGTTCCTCTGTTAAGTTGATTGTAATTTGTAAACTGAATTTTAAAGATTGTGAATTGGGAGTCACTCTTGTGATTAGAGTTGACTAGGAATTGGATATAGGGTTGGTTATATCCGAACCAGTATAAATTATTGTGTGTTCTTATCTTCCCTTTATCACTATAATTTTCTTAATCACTTCTCTTATATCTTTCTGATCATATTATCGCTTCAGCTTTAAAATTAAATTAACAAGTTATTAGACATCTAAAATAATTTTTTAGTTTGACATCTATTTCAATTTGTGCATCTATTCATCCCCCCCTCTAGATGTCATTTGTCTAACAAATAAAGATATTGACTGTACAAAAAAGAGACACAAGAAGAGAAGAAGAATAATTAAATTAAAGGGAAGACTTAGTGAATGTGACATTTGCTGAAATGAAATAACGACTACGAGAATGAGAGAAACATTTGTATCTGTTGAAAGTCTCACATTGACTGCCTCATGTCATTTGGTATTGTTTAAATACATGTTAGACTACTCTACATATTGTCAATTGATTTTATGTTGGAGCCTTAACATGGTATCAGAGCCAAAGCCTAACATCTTTCTAGTTATTATCTTGGGTCAAGAGTTGCCTTTTCGTTATGAGTTAAAAGTATCATTTGCCTGGTCCAGCAAGTTTCGTTGGAGGAGGCGTGTTAAAAGTCTCACATCACCTGTCTCATGTAATTTAGTATGATTTAAATACATGTTAGACTACTTCATATATTGCCAATTGGTTTTATGTTGGAACTTTAACAATATCCTTTTTGTGATCTAGTGAATCCTAAAAATACATGTTTGTATGACCTCGAAGATAATTTATCAAAATAAGGACTAAAAGTATGAATAAAACATGTGGACCCAAAAATTTTAAGAGGTAAGGGATGGAGAGGTTCATGAGAAAATAAAATAAAATGAGAAATTGTGTTAGCTAAGAATGAAGATGACATACGATTGATTAGATAACATGTAATGAAAACAACATCACCCTAAAAACATTGAGCAACCTCACCATGGATTAAAATTATGTGAGTTGTTTTAACAAGATATCTATTCTTACACTCAACCATCCCATTTTATTGAGGTGTATAAGTACATGGGATTTGATGAAGAATGTCATGAGAAATCATACAATTTTTAAAAGAATGTGAAAGATACTCACGACTATTATCACTATACAAAGTTTGAATAGAAATTTCAAATTGATTTTAATTTCATTTTAAAATGATTAAAATATAAAAAACAATCTTTCATTAAAAACAACAAAGTACATCTTGAATAATCATAAATAAAAGTAACAAAATACTGAAATTCTAAATTAGACTTAACACGACTTGATCCACAAATATCAAAGTGAACTAAAGCAAAGGGTGACGAAGCATGTTGTGAGACTTTACTAGGAAAAGAACAACAATTGTGTTTCTCTAATTGACATGACTCACAAGACAAACTTGATAAATTGTACAAGTTTGGAATAAGGTGTTTCATTTTGGCAAGACTAGGATGACTTAGTTGAATATGAATGAGAGATGGAGAACACATAATTGTGCCAACATGTGCAGAAGTTCGTAAGTGATAAAGACCATGAGACTCACAACTATTATTAATTATCCGTACTGAACTCCGATCCCATAAATGAACAAAATCTTTGATAAAAGAAATAATAAAATCTTCTCATTTCCTTCATATTCTTCTTTCAAATAATCATAAATTTCTTTGAGTGACTTTAGGATCATAATTCTAGTGAAGATCATTTGTGAAACTCCAACAAAAAAACATGACTTTGCTTTTACCTATCTCATTTTTTTTTCCTTTTGAATTTTCATTTGGGTTATGGTGAGATTCAACAATGTAATCACCTTTTATAACTTTCTATAAATCTAGTCCTCAAGATACGATGTATTCTCACATAGGTCATAACTTTTGTCATTAAAAAGTGGAACAATGACTAGTGAGAAATTTCCTTCTCTTTTCATTCTATAGGTCTAGTAAGAATCAAAACTTGATACCACTACCAAAAAATTTTAGGATTTATTATGTGTTAGATTTATAGGCTGAGAACAAGGGAGGGTGAATTGATCTTTACAAACTTTTTTGCAACTTATAGATACAGATTAACAATTTTAAAGATTAAGAAATCTGATTAAGTATTGAACCAAGAAAACCAAACTGAATTTAATAAAGTTCATTCAGAATTAAAAAAAGTGATGAAAGAGGAAAAGAAACACCAAGAATTATACTGGTTCACCAAAACCCCTAGGCTACATCCAGTTCTCAACCAAATTCTAGTTGAGTTCCACTAGATTGAATAGTTTGATTTACAAAATCAAATTACAGACAATCCAACATGCACCAAGAACCAAATTCCAGTTACAGAACCAAACATGCACCAAGAACCAAATTCCAGTTCTTGAATCTAACCTGCAACCAAATTCTAGTTGCAGAACCAGTGCCAAAACTTTCGAGACATCAAGACAATACAGAATTGAAATAGAAATGAGAAAAATGAAGAAACTAGAACAATCAAACCCGATTATGTAGATGCAAAAATCCCATTGCAGAATGAGTTTCTTCAAAAACAAGAATACAAAAATGCCTCAAGAAAGAACTTTGAAAATTTCCACTAAAAATAGTGTGCTTCTTTCTTGAAAAGATCTGTATTGATTGTTTTAGTAATTTCTAAAATATGTGTTTTTAAAACGTTGAAACAAATATGTTTATATAGAGATTTTCTAACAAATTGGTTTAATTAATTGATTAATTTATGTTTTAATCAATTAAAAAATCTTATTTCTAATTGTTTTAACTGATGAAAATATCATTTAATCGATTAAAATGTTCTATAACACTTTCCAGAAATATTTTAATGGATAAAAACACAGTTTAATCGATTAAAACAATTACAAAAAAATCATTAAGTGATTTTAATCAATTAATTCAAATTTTAATCGATTAAAATACTGATGTAACATGTTTACATTGATTTTAAGTGGTTTAATTGATTAATTCAAATATGTATTGATTAAAACTGCGACATAACATGTTTTCACTTATTTTAAGTGGTTTTAATCAATTAATTTGAATATATATCGATTAAAATTGTGACAGTAATATGTTTACACTTATTTTAAGTGGTTTTAATCGATTATTTCAAAAAGACATAAGTTAAAAATATGTCGAAGTGTTTCAGTTGATTTTAATCGATTAATCTATAAATATATCAGTTAATTTCAAAACTCAAGAACATATTAACCAATTAAAAATATTTTTAACAGATTAAAAATATTAGAAGCATTCAAAATCATTAAACATTACACCCCATATTTCATAAATCCTCTAACTTCAACAAATTTTCACTTATTCCATAAATCATTTGACTTCATCAAATATTTAAGATCTTCAATCATCATCATTATGTATGTATTTTTAATATATAAATTATATAATATAATGAAACTTCTTTCTCATGTATTTTATATATATATATATAACAAAATATCAAATATTTGAATTTTAACTACTCAAATGATAATATAATATTTTTTACTCTTATTCTAAAACATAATAAAAATAATTTAATATCTAATTTAAATAAAAATAATAATAAGACATATTTTCAACATATATATGCTACGAAGCATTGATATTAAAAAGGTGAAAATATTCTATTTATAATTACAATGAGTACATAAAAGAGATACAAACATCCAAAATATTGATCTAAAATATTTGATGGGAAAGAGATAACATCTCTTCTTTTTATAAAATAGTATGATATTTGTTTGCCGGTAAGGAGTTCGTGACTCCAACAAAATTCTTAATTCAAAACTTAAACATAAAATGAAAACTCTAATGACAGAACCAACTCATCATGGTGTAATAAAACTCTTCAATTCCAAATGAAGGGTCTCTTCTAAATAATAATACTTGGCATATACCAAATAATCAGAAGCCAATTTATTTATTTAACAAAAGAGGCCTATTACCTGTGTGAGAAGGTAAACTTTGGGCCAAACTAAACTACGAATAAACCAGAGTAGAATTAGAGTATGGAATCATGTACAAAGGAACTTGGTGCAGCTTGTGTTAAAACATTGTGCAGCAGTAACTTGTTTATTCATACAAAAATTTGCATTAGATCTAGTTTATTTCCTTCCTTTATCCTATTCTAAAAGATAAGGACTCCTTCACAGTTGCAAAGTTTACTATAACTATCAAGAACCACGTGCTCAGTTCCTGTCATACACACTGATTAGCATGCCCTCTCCAAATGAACCACTTTTTCAATGCTTTCAAGTTTTAACTGTCATCCTCATCATCATCAGTAAAGTCTGGTTCAAGGGGCTTCCTCAGTGAGCCCAGAATGTTAAGTTCAGGTCCATATCTCAGGCTTCTACCTTTCCTTGGGCTGGATGCTAGTTTTGCTGCATACATTGTGCCCATTGGGGCCTGCAGAGGTGCAGAGAAATGTTCAGTGCCAGCTCCAGGCACAAAGGCCATCATCATATTCTCCTTTCTCTTGAGCTCACTTGTCTCCTTCGTTCTCTTATACCTGAACCATGCAGCTTGTATGAAGCATGCAGCCCAAGTCCTCCACTGATGGGAGTGGAACCTGAAAGTGTGCCTCAGTTGTTTGCTGTGCAACCTTCTGAACTGCGCTGCCACAAACATCAAGTCCTCTGCACTGAGTGCAAAGGCTTCCACTTCAGTGATAGCTTTCACTGTGCGAGTTGAGGAAGGAAGGACAACCGTTGGACGAGGGTCCAAGGCCCATGGCAGTAACTCTTCACCACAGAAGTCACCAGAGCCAAGTCTACATGAGTTGAAGAAACCTGTTCTGCCACCATTGGTGGTGCAAGAATCTAGGCGTCCTCGAACAATGAAAAGCATCTCATTCACAAGGTCACCTTCGCGGACCACACAAGCGCCTGGAGTGAAAAGAGAAGGCTTCAGCCTTTCACATATTGCATCTAGCATCCTCTCATCCATTTGATCAAACAATGGTACCTGCCATGGGCCCAAAAGGAGTTCAACTTAGTTTCTTGTCTCCCACGAAAAACGATAACAAAATAAGACTTCCATGAGATGTCATGAACCATCGTTAATGACTTTTATACTCGATTGAACTAATCATTTGGTCCTTACATTTGTTCTCGTTTTAAGTTTTAGTCCTTACGTGTTGCATAGGAATTGAGTTTTAGTCGTCAATGTTAATATGAAGGATGACAATGTAAAATCGCTACAAAAGTATTCTGTTATAGAAAAACCATCATAATAACTGCTCAGGAACAAAAACTTACAATTTCTTTTATGGAGACCAAAACTTAAAATGGAGATAACTATAAGGATCAAATGAATAGTTTAATCTTATATTACATAGTTAGTGGTCTGCCTCACACAAGTACCATTTGGACTTGGAGCATGGTTGATGTGCAGGTCCATCAATCTTGTGCTGAAATTCAACTTATTATCAGAACAAGGGGGAGAGGATCAAACTCTAGACCATTAAGGCCTACAAGCTTAGATACCAAGTCATGAACAAACTATTCCACATGCTAAATATGAGATGATTGTTTGAATTGAAACTTTCACAATTCAGAAAACTGTGTAAAAGCAAGCAAAGAAGTAAACAAAGATTTACTTGTCGAACTAGATTAAGGCAAAGGTGGCGTTTGATGTCACGTCTTAGATCTGTGGGAAGGTCTCTGAGAATAGTTTCCTCATCAACTCCCCTAGTAGCAACCCATCTGAATTGTTCATGACGTCGCACATTTTGCTTCAGGTAACGAGGGAGCTGCCTGTGATGCATCCATCTTTCCGTATCTGTTCTTCTTATTCTCCATTCTTCTAGCCGCGTAGTGGTGGATTGCAAGTAGGTCTGTCAATTGATAAGAATTTCTGTTATATGAAAAGAATGAAACTACAAGATATGAGGATCAGAGTTATGGTATTATTTAATTATTATCACACAGATGCGTGGTGCATTCTTCATCCCCTATCATAGTGGACTAGAAAGTATGGATTAAGGTCCTGGTTAGTACCAATAAAAGGAGTTAACCATCATGAAAAATTTAAACTAACGAGCATTGTAAGCCTAATAGTTACTATATGGATGATCAATTCATCATAAAGTGAGTCAATATATACATACTACTGAATGAACAGAAAGATTGTCTTATAAGGTTCAGAAATTTTATATTGAACTCTAAATAATCCTTGAAAACCAACAGGAGAATGCTACAAATAAACCTGATGTTTAAGGAATACTATTTTACTAACAGAAAATGACTTTATTTTTGCAAATAATTATCAAGTTCTGAGACTTGCAGTACTGAGCACGGCTAGACTTACTTGCATATTTCCAATAAGTAATCCAAAAAGCACCAATCCAAGAACTGCAATGATCACAGCAAAATTGATCTCTGCAACACGTGTTCCTGTTAAGAGATTTTGTCCCACAGAGCTGCAAATTTGGCATAGTATTATTGGTTAGCATATCACAATTCACAAACTCTAGTGTGGACCAAAAATAAGTTGAGGATTTAGAATGAATGGAGTGTTAAGACTTAAAGAATGTCATATTTTCTGTATGCACGTGAAGGTCTTGATTATATAGAAAACAAAACGAAAAAAATGTTTATTTAAAAAAAAAATCAACTTGACATTCACTAAGATATGATTGAGTGAAATCCCACAATAACTAATAGTATTTCAGATCTTCAGATTATGCTCTGAAGTATGTTTGATTGTTTATTTTCCATCAAATTAACATGAGGTAAGTCAAGCAGCAATAAAATTGTTCTGTGATGAATTATTCAATTCTAACGTATAAAAATTAAGTTACCTTAGATTCCTTAGTCCCCACCACAGACAGTAATAGTACTTGTTGAAGAATTTTGAGGCTGTAATTTCCAAATTTAGAGCATCAGCAAAAATGCCAAATTGAAAGAAATCACTATTCTGATCACATAGGCTTGAGAGATTGCTTGAGCTTAACCAAGCAATCCTATCTGGGTCACCCATGCTTTGGCAATCAAGATAATGATACTGGCATTGTGGGTACTGCAGTGTGCAAGCTTTCTTCCAACATTCATTCTGGCGTTCAATTGACAACAGGTACCAGGATGATCCTAAAACCTTTTTTAAGATAGAGGGACAATTAATAACCTAATCAGAAACAACAAAAAATAGATAAAATAAATGAAAATCATGATAGGAAAAAGAGATCTTGGTATATAGTAGTCCAAATTTAAAAGCTCTTACATCATAAGTTTTTATGCAAAGAATTATTTGGAACAGTGACTTACATGACTAGCCAGCATATAGAGCATCAGATTATATGCTGCCCCAGCCCATGCTTTTTCCATCATTACCCCATTTGCCTTGACGATTTCAGATGATAGAGGATAAATAAGGTACAACCTCAAGAGGTACTGGAAAATGGAAACAAGGCGCAAAACATGCCTTGAAGCAATCATTTGAGGCCCTTTTAGATTTGGAATTACGGCCCAAATTAATACCTAAAATGTATATATGAATTTCAAAGTCGTTATCCTAATGCACAAGAAACAAAACAGAATGTATATAACTGAGACACAATAGCATGTGGAGCTGTAAGTAAGTAGAGACTTTCAGCATATTTTTAATGTTTTATCATAGCACAAAGGAGGTTTCAGAATCTAGGTAGTGCAGTTGGGTGGGGGGGGGGGAAAGTGAAAGGTTTTATGAAAACTTATAACCCTTAAAATCTTACAATTTGTCCAAATATGTTTCAATCCTTTCAACCAAACGGATTTTTTGTGCACTTTATCCTTCTCTTTCACCATTTTGGCGGAATGTGAACACATGGTTTAACAATGAAAACGAAGGTAAAAACAATCACAGCATCAAGGAGAAGTCTTCTAAGCCTCATTTTCTAGATACACTAGGATAAAATTTCAAATAAATTATTAAAGTTGACCCTTGTTTTGATGTATCAAATTGAGAAAAATTGATATATAGGGATAGCATAATGCATGAAGGAATATTTTTACTCTGGTCTCTATCAATTAACCTATGGTTTTATCTTCCTATAAGAAAATCTAGTATTAATATATATATATATTTATAACTAGAGTTGACTAAGCTAATATTTAGATGTGCAAATAATGTTTAATAGTTCAGCAATCATATTTGAGGGTTTTAAAGCTCAAATTAGCTCATCTTTGAAGTTGTCATCAGTTTAATAAGAATCTACTCATGTCCTTAGTTTCTTCATTAACAAATTTTCAGAAATCTTTTAATCAGAGAAGAAATGAATGCAAATTTTGTATCAGGAACTTACCTGTGGAAGTGGTTGAGCAGCCACTAGATCAAGCCAGAAGTCTCTTCGCATATAGTTTGATGCAATTTTTGAAGAGTCTATAATAAGCTCTCCTCTACCAGAAACACGAGAGGAAGGAGCAATATAAGCTGTTTGAAACCGAAAATAAATCTGAATAATGTAAAATGCATCAATCAAAGACCGGATTATGGTGAGGACCACTTCAAGACCAGTTGACATATCAATGCACTTGTCTTTCTTAGCCACTGGTAAGTAAAAGAAAAGGGGATCCACAAACAATGAAAGCAAGCAAGCTGCTAAGAAGATTTTGTTCCATGTATTAACTTTATGTCCCCTAGGATCCAATATCAGAATCTGTTCTGAATCATAATCCTCGGAAAAGACCCTGGAAAGTTCTCTTCCATCACAGGACTTGCTTATTGCATCCTTCCCAACCTTGTGTTTGCCACTCATCTCGTCATAGGCCACCAGTGACAAGTGTTTTTCTTTGTTGGCCATTAACTTATTTGTCTCAAGTTCATCTTGAAATCTGAATGCACATATACAGAACTGAATTTCAGCGCCAAAACCAAATGACAAAAAAATGATGAAAATAGCCATGTCTTGCCAAACTGTAATCACAGATTTACTTACACATGTCCTATTGCATTAATAAGTTAATAGAGTCACTGGCAAGTTACATTAAATTCTAACTATATGTAAAAGTTTTCAGCTCAATTTCAAAGGGAAAAACTGCCAAACCTCACAGATCTTGATCTATCAGAACGCATAGTTGGCTAGTACAACTATTTAGTTTCACTCTTCTAGTGGACAAAAGGAACATATATATACAGGCTATTAGCTACAGGAAAAAATTTGATGATTACATGCTCAACCACAAAATATTGAAGCCAGTTTTCTGTACAATCTTTCCCAGAAATCATGTGAAACGAAAGTAGTACTATGTTGTACAGTAATCTTTTTTAGGTTTTTTCATGAAAGTACAGGCAAAACATGTGAATTTGACACTTCTAAAAGCTAGTGGAGGATTCAAAGTCGTCGCTCCTTGGACTTAATGGTCAACTTGACATCATTTTTTCTGATATAAAAAGATGAAACTAACTCAAAGAATATGAAATGAAACATACATATGAAGTCCATGTACGTTGAGCCACAAAAACTACCTTCATCTATTCCATCATTTTTAATATCCATGCAAAATTTTAAGGTACAGTTAGGGGAAACGTATCATTGAAAAGCATCACATTCAGGTTCAATTATGTGGATAAATAATAGAGGTAGAAAGAGAAATACCACAAGCCAGAAAAATGAGAAAGAATAAAAGAATCGAGTAAGAGAAATTTAACCAGGAAATCCTTGCTGTCAAATCCCCTTAAAAGCTAGTTTTGAATTCAATATTTGAATTCTACCATGAATTTTAATTCCAATCTCTTGATTTGTCCTCATCAGTGAACAAAATCAGAACATGGGTCATGGAGCAGTCTCATTCTATTGTGAAACCACTTTGTTTTTTGTTCCCCCACTTGAGTTATATGATTTGGACTGTAACCCTGTGAGAAGGTGCCAACAAAAGTAATTGGAAGATTGCCTACTACCCCAAAATTCAGAGTATGTCTTATATGTTAATAAAGCATTTGAAGTTCTTAAAGTGACACATGGTTTTGTTTAATGTTTTTTATTCATGTCTTGTGTAGAATAGAATCCTCCACTCTCAGGAGAGAAGAGGGGCATCATAGTTTTCAATAGCATTGCATTGTAAACTTCTTTTTTCTTCCTCATATGTCTCAAATTTTGATGAGGAGATTTTGACAACAGAAAACCATAACCAACATCACAGCAGAGATTGACCATTGATGTCTACCTTCCTCTCAACTGCATGCGTTGTCTGGGATGCATTAATATTGGATACATTTGTAGAATTATGCCATTAGAAACAAGAGAAATGCTATATAACACCTATTCTAACACACATTTTTCAACAAACTATATTTTGTTGAACAAAATTCGTGTGAGTGATTGAGTTTTATCTTTTCTTTGATGGGTCTCATGTCTAAGCTAATGACCTGGTATGAATTTCAACTAATACCAAAGTGAGTTAACACATTAGAAAATGTCATTCCTTTTCTTTTCTTTTTTTTTTTTAGAATTTAATTTAGGGTTACTATTATCATTATATTATTGTCATTTATAACAAAATTTATAGTTTTTAGATTGATTTGATTTTAGTTTGCTTCATGTTAATTCTCCCTTCTTTTAATATATATATATATATACACACACACACGTATGTGTGATAAAAGATTCAATAAAAATTAAAAATTTATTTTTCATCTATACTATTAATTTTTTAAAATTTAATCATTTAAAATAATAATTTATCTTAATTATTAAATTAAGAAATAGTAAAGATGAAAAATAAATATGAAAATCTTATTCTCAAAATAAGTAATATATATATATATATATATAATATTATAAACTAAATATTTGAGTCAATTTTTCATATATATTATTAGTAAATAATAAAAAATGAAATAAATTTTACTTAAGTTAAGATAAGTTTATGCTGATTCAAAATCTGTCAAAAGGAACAACACAGAATAAAGGATTCTTTATAAATTAATATATGCATTAGTTATGGAAAGTTTTTTTTTTCTTTCTTTCTTTCTTTTAATTCTTCAAAAATTATCTAAACATACCCAACCTTTTAAGTGGCAAATATGTGGTCATCTTTAAAATTTGTCATAAATGCATTTTTCTGGGAAAAGGGTAAGGTGTTTTTATTCATGTGAAAGCATTTCATTTGCTTAAAACAAATTTTCCTTTTTATTTACATGAAATCTTTTTAAGGAACCATAAGTGATTGATGAATCCCATTAGCTTGACTTTGAAGAAGATGATTAACCACTTATGCAGCTGAAGAGTTAGGGCGAAGCATAATAACCGTGACTCTGGGGTGAGAGGAAATGAATGGTGAAGATTGCAAGGAAGGGTGATAGCATTAAAGCCAAAGATGCTTTGCATCAATCACGATCATATATTTCAACCACCTGGACCAAACATGTACTATTTTAAATAAATAAATAATGCATCAAACATTTGTAGACATTTTTACTAAAATAATATTATTATATTATATATATATATATACATAAAATTATTTACTTAACTGAATCTCTCATCAAATTATTTATCCTCTTTTACTATTATATTTAGAATTTAGTTTCTCGTAAATCAAATTCCAACTTTAAATTTACCACTTTTTTTAAATAAAAAATTAAATAAAATATATAATTAAAAATAATAAAATTAATATTAAAAATAAAATTTAAATAATATTTATATAAAAAATAATAAAAATAATATATTATTTAAATATATATTAAATTATTTAAATATATTTAAATAATTATTAAAAATATTAAATAATAATTTTTTATTATATTTTTTAATATTTTTGAATAGGAAATTTAAAATTTATATTTTTTATTATTATATGAATTATTTAAGTTATAATTTTAGAAAAAAAAATTGATAAATTTAATATATAAAATATTAAAAGTAAAATTAAAAATAAGTTATTAGTAGCAAAATAAAAATTATAGAACATGATATTAAAGAAAAATAATAAAGGTAGAAAGTTTTTATAGAGTGAAAATAATAGAGGTTTATGAAGAAGAAAACACTCCACAAATTTCTCCCGAAATTCAAGAACAAACATGCACGACGAAATCTAAAACGTAATAGATGTTGTCCTCGTTGTGGAACTGGACACCACTTTTTAGATTAAAATTTTTTTAACATTATTGTCAATAATTTTATTTTTCAATTTTTATTATCAATGATTATGTTATTTTTAATATTATACATTAAATTCTGTCAATTTTTATTATTTTTTATTTTTAAGTATATTTTATATTAATAATAATAATTTTTAACTAATTAAATAATATTTTTACTTTATTATTTTAAAAAAATTAATTTTAGCATGAATTTTTTAATATAATATTTATAATTTATCAAATAAAAACTATTACATAAATTTTTATAATATAATATTTAATTTTTTAATATATTACCTAAATTAAATTTTTATTTATTCTATTTTTTTCTAAAATTATAACTTAAATAATTCATATAATAAAAAAATATAAATTTTAAATTTCCTATTCAAAAATAAAAAAAATATATAAAAAAATATAATAAAAAATTATTATTTAATATTTTTAATAATTATTTAAATATATTTAAATAATTTAATATATATTTAAATATTTTATTATTTTTATTATTTTTTATATAAATATTATTTAAATTTTAAAATTAAATTTTATTTTAATATTATTTTTATTATTTTAAATTATATATTTTATTTAATTTTTTTATTTTAAAAAAAATTATTTTAGGTAATATATTAAAAAATTAAATATTATATTATAAAAATTATGTAATAGTTTTTATTTGATAAATTATAAATATTATATTAAAAAATTCATGCTAAAATTAATTTTTGTTAAATAATAAAGTAAAAATATTATTTAATTAGTTAAAAATTATTATTATTAATATAAAATAAACTTAAAAAAATAATAAAAATTGACAGAATTTAATGTATAATATTAAAAATAACATAATCATTGATAATAAAAATTGAAAAATAAAATTATTGACAATAATGTTAAGAAAATTTTAATCTCAAAAGTGGTGTCCAGTTCCACAACGAGGATAACGTCTATTACGTTTTGGATTTCGTCGGTGATGATCGTTCTTGAATTTCATGAGAAATTTTTGGAGGGTTTTCTTCTTCATAAACCTTTATTATTTTCACTCTATAAAAATCTTTCTACCTTTATTATTTTTCTTTAATATCATGTTCTATAATTTTTATTTTGCTACTAATAACTTATTTTTAATTTTACTTTTAATATTTTATATATTAAATTTATCAATTTTTTTCTAAAATTATAACTTAAATAATTCATATAATAAAAAAATATATAAATTTTAAATTTCCTATTCAAAAATATAATAAAATATAATAACAAATTATTATTTAATATTTTTAATAATTATTTAAATATATTTAAATAATTTAATATATATTTAAATAATATATTATTTTTATTATTTTTATATAAATATTATTTAAATTTTAAAATTAAAATTTTATTTTTAATATTAATTTTATTATTTTTAATTATATATTTAATTTAATTTTTTATTTAAAAAAAGTGGTAAGTTTAAAGTTGGAATTCGATTTACAAGAAACTAAATTCCAAATACAAACAGTAAAAGAGGTTTAGTTAAGTAAATAATTTCATCTAATATTATGTTACGTATATATATAATATAATAATATTATTTTAGTAAAAAAGTATAATAAAAATTGATAGTGAAAAAGTAACTTTATATGTCATTTTCCATAATGTTTACTCTCTACTCATGTATAAAATAAAATATTAGAAAATACAAAAAAAAATTATAATATAATTTTTATTCAAATAAATAATTATCCCTTATGTTTACACTTTCAATTTATCTATGCATATATATTAATTTCTAATTATTATTTTAATAAAATATCATTAAAATGTATTACACTTTCTCTTTAACATTACACTTTTTTAGAACGTTTATTCTGACCACATTTGAGTATAATACATTTGGACAGAGAAAGTAAAAAGTGTGTTTGATTTTTTATTTTATTTTTTTTCAAATTATATGTCTAAAGAGAAAAATTTATAGGTTAAAGACCTAAAGCACAAACTAT